CCCCCAGCACCATTACCACCACCACCACCCTCAATTCCTCCCCCAACAATTTCCTCCCCATTTTGCCCTCCACCCCCACCACCGCGCCCCCGAGCCCCACAGCTTCCAGCCGCCGCCGCCGCCTCAGCAACTGCGGCCTCAGGCTCAGCTGCAGCCTCCCACTGTGAAGCACGAGGCCTTGGCGCAGAATGCCACTAAAGTCGCCCCAGAAACGCCCAAAGAGAGGTTTGGATTTTGTTTTCAAAATTTCAAATCAGAAATGGTGAATTTTTAGGGTTTTACTTTCCTTTAGATTGCAAAGGTTGCGTTTCTATGAAATGTAAGTGGTGCACGTTTATGGAGTTTCCAATTAGCAGTATTTCGTTAATGGCCGTTTTGAAAGTTTTGTACTTTTCCTGTTTCCTGCTAACCAAGTTTCGCCAAATTGCATATTTTAATTGCTAGTACTTGCTATTTGAAATTTTTATGGTTTCCCTTTTTAGGTAAAAATAAGCCTGATAAGGTCAAATTGCAGGCGTGTATCGCTTTGTGTGAATGAGAAATTTGAAAATTGTTTTTAACAAATAAGGAAACATATGGAAATTGGCATTTAAACCCTGTTATTATTGTAATGGGAAAGTTTTAACCTTTTTGTTACCGTATTGTCTTTCATATAAAAGTCAACACTGTTATTGTTTGTCCTTACTCCCAAAGCATGAAATACAAATCAACTAGTACTTACTCACTCTTGCAGTTGCAGTCTCACTCTAATTATATTATAAAAAGTGCTTGACTTTTCAATGTATGAAAAACTATATGTTTGAGCTTAGCATAAAATCAAATTTGCTTATTCAAGAGCTGGCTTAGCATGGTCTTGCTAATTAAACTAGTAAGCTTATCTGTTGGGTTGGGGATTAACATTTTTGCATAAATTTGGAGGATTAGTACTTTAAAGTTCCATTATATTAAATGCTCCTTCTTTTCTTAAAATTTTAAATAGGGTAGTTTTCTCTGTCTCAGAATTAACTAGTTGGAAAAGCTCAAATCTTTATCTTTTTGTTTTGTAGTTGTAAGTAATCTATTACGATTCAGTGCTCTATTCATAATGCAATAAAATGACCTGGCATGTTTGTGTCGGTCATAATTTTACTGCAGTGCTCCGGCTTCTGGAACCAAGAGAAGAGGTGGGCCAGGGGGTCTTAACAAAGTCTGTGGTGTCTCACCTGAGCTTCAGGCTGTTGTTGGTGAACCGGCCTTGCCAAGGACTGAGGTTATTACTCCCAAATCAACCCAGATTCTCTTTTTATGCTAACTTTC